AAAGGAGTTCCTGCTACAAAAAGAGCCCAGGAGTAGGCATATTGTGTGCTGATTTTCTTTAATCTCCTGAACAAAGTTCTGTTTTTTCAAAAAATGTATATTTGGGCCTTGGTCACACGGGCCAGATAACGGGGGGGGGGAGGCGTGGCTATTTGCACCGTTGCATTCTGATCCACCATTAGGCGATCAGACGTGATGGCAGCACACCGGGGCTTCCTCCGTTGGCACACGCAGCAAAGAGGATGAGCCGGGGGAATAGCCGCGTGCCGGCGCGATCACACCACGGGAGTCCGTATGCAGCCCGTGGCAAACCATTTGCCAGTAGGTTGTTTCAGGAACCTTTTAAATGCACATCTTCGACGGCACGCCACGGGTTGGCCACGGGTGCGCTACGCCTCCCAGATGTTCCGGTGTGATCGCGCCCGGAAAATCCGCCCAACTATCGTGCCTTCCATGGGGCAAATGCTCCATGTGAACAGTGCCTTGTTTATTTATTTATTTGAACTTTTACCCCGCCCTCCCAGCCAGGGCCAGCTCAGGGCGGCTTACAAACAGACAACGACATTAAAAACATCATTTACGATTAAAACAATCCTAAAACCACAATAAAGTGCTAGTGATCACTGTTATTGTTTTTATTCAGTAAAGAGGAAGATACAAAGCATCACGAGTCCATTTCCAATTCTACTGACAAATCATACAGATGTTTTCGGTGGGGGGGGTAAGGTAAAGGTAAAGGTTCCCTTGCTCGAAAGCCAGTTGAATCTGACTATAGGGTTGCGGTGCTCATCTCCGTTTCAAAGCCGAAGAGCCAGCGCTGTCCAAAGACGTTTCCGTGATCATGTGGCCAGCATGACTAAACACCAAGGCGCACGGAACGCTGTTACCTTCCCACCGAAGTGGTCCCTATTTATCCACTTGCAATTTCTTGCTTTCGAACTGCTAGGTTGGCAGGAGCTGGAGCTAGAGATGGGAGCTCACTCCGTCATGAGTAAACTCAGTACTGCTGAGTAAACTAACCTGCAAGTTGCATGGTAAAAAGTTTGGTAAGTTTGAAAAATGGAGGGGTGGTTCTGACTAGTATGGTGAACTGAAGTTCGACGGAATTCCATAAACCAAAAGGCTCCATGCTGCGATTTGCAAAATATTGTACAAATTAAGCAACTCTCCACTTAGTTTTGCATGTTCCCTCCCCCTGCCCCTCATGATAACAGGCAAGGAACCAGGCAGGACAGCATAAGGACCCCTGGCAATCTTACTCAGACACCCGTTTGGCATCTATGAGACACCACTCATCATCCATACATAGAGTCCAGACAAAACATTAGGTTACTATGACAACTGCAAAGCTGTGCTGCTTTGCCTGGTCCTTGTGTGTCCAGAACTCTGCAGAATGAAAAGCCCAATCTGGTTGCCAGGTCCCTTCGAGATCCTGCTGGGGGGATGCTCCAGGAACTGGAAGCATCACCCCCGAAGTGCCAATGTCACCAGAAGTGACACTGCACACCATATCTACATCACCCAAAAGTGACATAGGCGCATTGGGGATGATGTGCTGGTTTTTGGGCAAGACTTCACGGCAAGATCGCCTTCAAACCACAGAGTTTTGCCCAAAAACCAGAGCATCACCCCCAACATCACTGACATGCCTACGTCACTTCTGGGTGATGTAGGCATGTCACTCCACATTGTTGTTGTTGGGGGGGTGGATTTCCTCTCACCAGCCGTTTGGCTGACGGCAGGCAGGAGCCCGCAAAACCAGGGGATCCCCGGCCCCCAACTGGGGACTGGCAACCCTGAAGCCCAAACATGTTTAAGAAAAACTGGGGCAGAGAGTATAGTTGGACAGATAGAAAATACAGAGAAAGATGCAGACCGAATGTCCTGTGGGGGACAGGGGGGCTGCTTGATCTAATCCATGACAGCAAAGGAGCAGGATACTCTTTATCCATTGAAGAGAATGGACTTGATACAGTAAGGCCCCCGCCACACGAGGGAAGAAGGGACGGCCAAAGTGCGGCTTTTAAAAAGCCACACCTAAATAGGCACGCGGCGGCGGGATCATACAGATTCCCTGAGCCGCTGTGCATTTGCTCCCCGGCATGATCAGGTGCCGGGGAGACGGGGAGAAAGGCACGGGAGTCTGCTGAACTGTGCATGTCGGAGCATGCGCAGTTCGGCAAGGAGCCGGGGATGCGCCGGCGAAAGAACGCGCCGGCGATCCCATGGCCAGCGTTGCTGCGTCCGTTCGAAAAGAACCACCTCGGTAGGTGGTTCTTTTTTGGTGCAGATCATCGCTGGAAGGGCCAGATCGGGGACGGACACGGTACGCTTCCCAGATGTTGCGGTGGGATCGCGCCCGTTTGCTCCGCCCCCGTTCCGTCCCTCTCCCGGCCCTAATCCTCTCCTGTGGATAGGGCCTAAGGGCAATGTTCTTTCCTCCTTCAGTGGAGGAGAGTATAAACAGCTTTAAAGGGGGATTAGATAGATTCATGGGGGATAAGTCTTTCAATGGCTACTAGCCGTGGTGACTGAAGGGAACCTCCACATTCAGAGGCACTAAACCTCCAAATCCCAGAGCCAGGAGGCAACATCAGGGGAAGGCCTCAGCCTTTGAGCCCGGTTGTTGGCCCTCCAGAGGAACTGATTGGCCCCTGTGTGAGACAGGATGCTGGACTAGATGGACCCTCACTGGTCTGATCCAGCAGGGCTCCTCTTAGGTTCTTAGTATGCTTGTATGGCTCGGACAGCGCTGGCTCTTCGGCTTTGAAACTGAGATGAGCACCGCAACCCTAGAGTCGGATTCGACTGGCTTTCGAGCAAGGGAAACCTTTACCTTTACCTATGGCTCATCCAGAAGCTGCATACATCCTAGCATGATATCTGCACATCCCATTATGTGCAGATATCACGCCTGAACAACCTGTTGGAGAATGCACCTTCCAGAGACTCCTTCAGGGGCCATGGAAGAAATTCAGCCTACAGCAAAACAAGTGAAAATGCATGACTGTACAGCTGCCTGGTAGGTATCTGCCTCTAGCGTTAGTGCCTAGAGCAGCAAGTGTGGTGGATTACGTGTGATACTGAGGGTCAAGCTTAATGATACCGTGTCCTTGAGTCTGCAGTGAGGATACAGGCAGATGTTACCGGCTCTTGAAAACAGCAGGGAGGGGCTGAGTTCATCCACAGCAGGACCGGTTCTTACGATCACAGCCATTCTACAGTGGTATCAGGCCTGTAGCCAGGATTTTGTGGCCTACAAGGGCAAATTTTTTTCTGGTGGGGCTAAAGTTCTCAATGCAGAAAGAAAAGTCATTTATCCAATAAAAAGCTGTTACCAGGGCAGATCTCTAAACGGCAAGCTGTCAACCACTTTAGATGACAGTTCTCAGCTGCTGCAAGTCAATCATTTCTGCCAGCAACAATTTTGATAACAAGCCGGCAGGTGGGGGTGATGACTTCTATAGTCAGGAAAGCTAACACTTAGGCAGAAAAACTCTCTTAAAGGAGAGCAGTTTCTTGACACAGAGTTAGAAGGGATCCTAGAGGTCACCTACTCCAACCCCCTTGCTCAGTGCAGGAATTAGTCAACTACAGCACCCCACCCTGCTTAAAGGAGCACACACCTTTTAAAAAAGGTTTTTAAATGACTGATTTACAGGAGAAGTAGCTATGGGCCTGACTGGTACGCCCTTGGCTCGTCTCACCTTTTTTGTGAAGGTTAGGCTGTGTCCCTGGCCATACACTTCTTTGAGATACGAAGGAGAACCACAGCAACTCAGTTGCCCGTGCTGCAGAATGGCAATGCGGTCGCACAGGGCTTCTGCTTCGTCAAGATGATGAGTGGTAAAGATCAGGGTGCGACCTACACCAGAGGAAATCAGTGCGCTGAAAAAAATATATATCTGCAGCCAACATTTCAATACTTCTGCTTCAATACCACACATGGCCCTCTTCTGATCAAAGGCAAGGGGATGCTAGCAATCTTTACCTGCATTTGGGCTTCACCAGCTTTTTGCAGCTCAAAAGCAATGTAAATTACTGAATCTACTCGACCAAAGTGCAAACGTTTGCACACCGGAAGACTCCCGGGGCAGGACTAAAGCTCCCCCACCGGCAGCCAGGTAAGACCTGCAACCCTAGCAGGTGTGCCAGGTTCAGACGAGCAACACACCTCTCTCCCACCCATAATCTCAGGTGCTAACGGGATGAGATGCGCCCTCCCTTATCTACTGTCCTTGGAGCTACCAAGCCTAGTGGAATGACCAGCAGCTAGGTTCCCCCCATCTCTCACATCTATGTCTCTGAAGCTTATTCAATGCAAGGCAAACTGTATGTGAATCACCCTATTGAAACACCATGTGAAGCTTCGTCCTGGGTTAGGATCCAAATCCAATCATATTGGTAGCCCAGGAAGAACCAGCCAATCAAGTACCAGCAAGCTCCCTGAGCAGAAACGTCCGTGATTGGTCTTTATGTAGACAACCTAATTGGTTGGTATTTGTACAGTAGGCGTGGCTACATTAGCCGGGAGAGTTTAAAAGCAGAACAGCTGCAATGTAAAGGCTGTTCTGGCTATTCATGTTGATCCGTGTTGGAGTTGTGTTTGAGTTGTTGAATAAAGCTTCATCTTTGCTGAATCACTCTCCGACTACTTTCTTAAGTGAGCGACTTAACAACAGCTCGCTTTGTTTCAGAGGAAAAAAATCTTTCTCTTGCAAGGCCTCTTTACCAGACCGTTTTACTAGGCCAAGAGCCTGAACCAAAGTTGAAAACTTGAACAAGAAACTGTGTTGGAAAACCAGTCTCTTGACAGACACTACAAAGGGAAAGGCTTTGGCCTAGAAACAGTGTCTTAACCTTGCTTCAGAGGGCGATTCTTTTTGGTAAGGGGTTAAGAAGCTGTTGTTTCCAGAGTGTACAATCTAGGCTCAGGTACAGCTTTCGGTATCTGAAAGTTTAATGAATTGCTCTGAGTCAGAGAGATATCTGAATAATGAAAATGTGATTATATGCAAAAAGGTGCAATCGACACAAGGGAAAGCAAACAATGTCAAGAAATTAGAAACCCGATGAATAATACATTCTGAAGACGGCTGAGCGGAGAGGGTTTCAGAAGAAGCAGAGAAAGCATGGGATGAACCCCTTCGTTTGAGCTGCATGCCATTAACATTCCTTTTATACACCTTCCTTGTCTTTGAAAAGGATCCAGGTTGCCAGTGGCACCATGTTTTGTAGCGGCATTGTTCCTTGGCCTGCAAAATCTGCCAGGAGGGGCAACTTGGTTTTCTGGCACCACCTTGAGTCACAGACCGCAGTACACTGCAAATTCCCCCCCACCCTCCCCAACAGCTAGCAATCCAAAACAGTCCCGTGGAGCCTGAGCGGTGGGTGTTGCCTTCTGACACACTTCCGGTGATGTCAGAGGGTGTGGCATATGCAAATGAGTTATGCTAATGAGCAGGGCTTTTGTAGATAAAGCCCAGCAGGAACTCATTAGCATAATAGGCCGCACCCAATAGCAGAAACGCATTAGCATATTGGGCCACACCCCTGACAGCACCACTCATTAGCATATTAGGCCACACCCACATGTTACCAGAAGTGTGGTCATCCAGCCACACCCACCTTTTGCTTCTTATTCTGTTTACCTTGTTTGTTGTCAAAACCCAGAGCTTTTTTTGTAGCAGGAACTCCTTTGCACGTTAGGCCACACACCCCTACATCCTCATGAGTTCCTGCTGTTGGGTGTGGCCTATTATGCTAATGAGTTCCTGCTGGGCGTGGCCAACTCAGGAGCCAGCTGGAACTGCGTTCCTGCCCAAAAATAGCCCTGCTAATGAGTTATACTACTGAGCTCCTGCACCTCTGTTTGTAGCTATCATAATTAATATGAAAACGAAACAAATTTCCCTGTGATGGAGAAAAAAAACCCCACCCATGATTCCTTTTTGTTTTGTTCTGGTCTCTTTCGTGACCACCGTCTCCGCCTTTGCTGTTTTCACTTTTACAGGCAGCCAGCATTTTCCTAACCAAGGCACAGTGTCCCTTAGAAGGCACGGAGAGAGTAAGGTTGCCAGCCTCCAGGTGGGGCCTGGAGACCCCCCACTTTTACAATTAATGCCCAGCTGACAGAGATCAGCTCCCCTGGAGAAACTGGCTGCTTTGGAGGGAGGACTCTATGGCATGGTACCCTACTGAGGTCCCCCCCTTCCCCAAACCCCGCCCTCTCCTGGGCCCACCCCCCAAAGTCTCCAGGTATTTTCCAACCCAGAGCTGGCAACCCTAGGAGAGAGGGGCTCTGGGCTTTATTAACTGACTGCACGCAGTAGCCGCCAGCATTACACCCATGGGCGAGGTATTCTAATACTGAAGCATCCTGGGGTGGGACTTTGCCTTTCTCTCTCCTCCCAATACCTGCCCGGCTGTGTCGATTCTCCCTGGCAGTCTGCACACCCACGGCTGCCTCCTGCTCTCCAGATTTTATCCCTGTCCAAGCAGCAGATGTGCTTCAATGTCTTCCTCCTCCTGCTGCTGCCTGCCTGCCCAGGTGCCACACACCCTCTTTGTGCCACCAAATGTCCTTGCCTAGTCGGTTGGCCGCTTCCTTGCGCTACTGTCCTTAAAGCCACGTGGCTGCAATACTGCTGTGCTATGTCTCAAATCTTTGCCATCAGATCTCCCATAGACTTTAATGTCAAAAATGGCACCTTTCATCGGCACAAGAAGGGGACCCCTTTATTCTACCTGTTTGGCCACGCGCGTGGCCTTGGAGAACGCTACAATCCCCCCCGAATAGGGTTGCCAACTTCCATGTGGTGTCTGGAGATCTCTTGGGGTTACAACCGGTGTGTCCTCTAAGCTGGGTTAGTGTGAGCCAGCTCACAGTTTTTTAGCCTCCAGCTCACACCTTTTTTTGTCTTCACCAGGGCTTATTTTGTAGAAAAAGCCCAGCAGGAACTCATTAGCATAATAGGCACACACCCAACAACAGAAACTCATTAGGATTGGCTACATTAGGGGTGTGTGGCCTAACATGCAAAGGAGTTCCTGCTACAAAAAAAGCCCTGGGTTTGGACAACAAACAAGGTAAACAGAATAACAAGCAAAAGGTGGGTGTGGCTGGATGACCACACTTCTGGTAACATGTGGGTGCGGCCTAATATGCCAATGAGCTGTGCTGTCAGGGGTGTGGCCTAATATGCTAATGAGTTCCTGCTGTTAGCTGTTGCCTATTATGCGAATGAGTTCCTGCTGGGCTTTTTCTACAAAAAAAGCCCTGAAAGGAACAATAATGAAACAATACCATAGGAAACAATCCAATAATGAAACAGTCCGTTTTGGTATTAACAACAACAACAACAAAATTGGAAGAAATGAAACGGAATCTCATGCACAAGTCTCGTCAGGACATGAAGCTTTTCGCCACAGAGAGGGGAACGTCCTTGCCGCTTGGTTTCTGCACATCAGGCTGCTGATAAAAGCACAGGAAGCGGGGCCAGTTCAAAAGCTGGCAACTGAAGCCTTTCCCCACCGTTTCCTCCGCGGCAGAGAAAGGTTCGCCTGAATCATCTCTGCACATTAGAATGCTGCAAAAGGTACAGGAGAAGAGCCAAGAGTGCGGGCGATCCAAGAAAGGATCCGTGGCCAAGGATTTTATGGCTGTATGAACATGGGGGGGGGGGGGTGGGGCTCTTGCCTTGAAAACCAAATAGGGTCACCATACCATAGCTGTGGTGGCTCAAGTGGTTAAGACGCTGAACTGCAGGCTGTGGAAGGTCGGTAGTTCAGCAGTTCGAGACCCGAGTGTGCCGCATGACGGAGTGAGCTCCCGTCTCTAGTTCCAGCTCCTGCCAACCTAGCAGTTCGAAAGAAAGAAATTGCAAGTAGATAAATAGGTACGGCTTCGGTGGGAAGGTAACAGCGTTCCGTGCGCCTTGGTGTTTAGTCATGCCGGCCACATGACTACGGAAACGTCTTTGGACAGTGCTGGCTCTTTGGCTTTGAAACGGAGATGAGCACCGCAACCCTAGAGTCGGATTCGACTGGCTTTCGAGCAAGGGAATCTTTACCTTTACCTTTAAGCAGCGATCAGGGCTCAGCTTCTGTAGGCAGTTGTGTAGAAAAGGGAATTTCAGCCAAGGCAGCTTTACAAGGCCTGCAGAATGAGCTGTACCAACTGCAATTTCCTCCTCTGTACAACTATAGGAGACCCAAGAGACTCATTCTCCTTTGTTGCTCATCAAATGACAATGGGCAGGAGTGGTCACATGTGCTGTGTCACACGTCCGATCCAGTTACGTATACAGGCGGCACGTGTGCTGTGTCTAAATCTGATACCAGAAGGGATAACAAAGAGCAGAACATTCCCCCTCCCCCCAGCCACATCTGGCAAAGGGTCATGACCAGTGTTCCCTCTAAGCTGAATCAGTGTGAGCTAGCTTACAGTTTTTTAGCCTGGGAAGGTAACAGCGTTCCGTGCGCCTTGGTGTTTAGTCTTGCCGGCCACACTACCACGGAAACGTCTTCGGACAGCGCTGGCTCTTCGGCTTGGAAACGGAGATGAGCACCGCAACCCTAGAGTCGGACTTGACTGGCTTTCGAGCAAGGGAACCTTTACCTTTAATATCGAATCATCTACTTGAGGGAGCCAAACACATGTGGAACAGATTAAAAAAAAAAAACCCGCCCTGAAGAAATGGGAATTTATGAGTGCGGAAAATGAGGATGCAGAAAAGCCCATAATCTCAGGACCCACTCCTGCAGGGCCGTGTATGACAGTGAGCTCCATGTAGGGGACCCCTCTCATTAGGACAGGTGGTCTCTGGAAATGGAGACATACATACCCTGTGCCTCAAGATATTCCCCGTGGTATTTCACATGGAGTGTGTAAGTCTTGAGTATAAATAAATCTATTTTATTTATTTTTAAAAATTAAATGTATGAATCGCCCACCCTGCAGGGCGGGCTCTTGGCAATTTACAACACTATAAACAGTGAAAAACACAGTTGATATACAATTAAACCCACCAATCACAAACATGCGATTAGAACCAATAAGGATGGCGATGGATGGTCCTCCATTGCCGGCCACGCCGCTATGCCACATGGCAGGGCAGGACAGGGCATGTGGGGGCCCATAGAGGGGGAAAAAGAGAGAAAGGGTGCCAGTCTTAACCTCCCGTCGCTGCCCTCGACTAAAAGCCTGGCAGAACATCTCTGCCTTAGGGGCCCTGTGGAATTGCATCAGATCCTGCAGGGCCTTATGTTATTCGGCAGAGCGTTCCACCAGGTTCCTAGTTGACGACAGTCGGACCGAAACAACATAGTCAAGAAGAATTCATGGGTCCTGAAAAATCTTCACGTCTGTCAGATAAACGAGAAGAAGAAGAGGAGGAGGAGGAGGAAGAGGAGACTATCCAAGGAAGTCTCAGAGCGGCTTACAAACTCCTTTCCCTTCCCCTCCCCACAACAGACACCCTGTGAGGTAGGTGGGGCTGAGAGAGCTCTTTCCATAACTGCCCTTGAGAGAACAGCTCTGACAGAACTATGGCTTGCCCAAGGTCATCCAGCAGCTGCAAGTGGAGGAGTGGGGAATCAAACCCAGTTCTCCCAGATTAGAGTCCGCGCAATTAACCACTACACCAAACTGGCTCTCCAGCTTTTCCTAATATCCAGCCCTTCACTCAGAGTGGCTTACCATCTCCTTTCCCTTCCCCTCCCCACAACAGACACCCTGTGAGGTAGGTGGGGCTGAGAGAGCTCTTTCCATAACTGCCCTTGAGAGAACAGCTCTGACAGAACTATGGCTTGCCCAAGGTCATCCAGCAGCTGCAAGTGGAGGAGTGGGGAATCAAACCCGGTTCTCCCAGATTAGGGTCCGCGCACTTAACCAGCTACCAGAATTATCCCATTGCTTTTCATACCTTCTTTGTACTTGAGCAGAATATCCCAGATGCTGCGACGTGAACATGGGTCGAGGCTGCTGGTGGGCTCATCCAGGACCACGGTCTTCGAGTCGCCAATAAAGGAGATGGCAATGGAAAGCCTCCTCTTCATTCCTCCAGACAGGGCTCTGACATACTTGGACTGATGCCGGAGCAATCCCACATCCTTCAGGGCTCTTGAGGAACAATCAAGAAGAGATCTGAAAACCTTTTGCCCAGTTTGCAATTTTGTGTAGCAGCTGCATGAATGATCTCACTCAAGACTCATGTTTCCAAAACTGAAATGATGAGCAGGCACTTCAAGTGACTGATGGGGCCATTCCAAGCAGAGTCAAACCATTTCTAAGTACATTGGCGTTGGTGAGCTTAAGATGGGCGTAATTCTGCTTTGGATTGCATTGCCAGTCCTATCCATTTGAACCACAGACTTCTACAGGAGCCAGAAGGGGGCAGTTTGCTTACAACGGAGGTTTCATCAGAACTATCCCTTGAGTGTGAGGGCCTCTCCTATCTGCATCCCATGGATGCAGAATGTGTTAGCCTGCAGTGGAAGAAGAGAAGAAGAAGAGCTGGATTTATACCCCGCCCTGCACTCAGAGTCTCAGAGCGGCTTACAATCTAATTCCCTTCCCCTCCCCACAACAGACACCCTGCGAGGTTGGTGGGGCTGAGAGAGCTCTTTGAGCACTGCTCTTGAGAGAGAGCAGCTCTGAGAGAACTGTGACTGACCCAAGGTCGCCCAGCTGGCTGTGTGTGGAGGTAGAGTTGCCAGGTCTTACCTGGCTGCTGGTGGGGGGATCCAGTCTTCTCCTAGAGGTGGTGACATCATTGCTCAGGGCACATTGGGCAGAACGCTCTAGCATTTGGGCAAAAAACTCTATAGTCAACATAGAGTTTTTGCCAAATGCTAGAGTGTCACCTCTGGGTGACATCATCACACCAGGCACATTAGGTGGGATGGGGTTCTTTTAGGGTTGCCAAGTTGATCTTCACCGGGAGCGGGGGGCTCCCGGTTGGTGTCTGGTGTGCGCATGTGCGCGCGCCGCATGCACGTCACCCGGAAGTGACGTGACGACACATCACCCGGAAGTGACGTGACGACGCCAGGCACACTGGGGGCGGGGCCACGGCCATACGAGGGAAAATCATAGAGTTTTCCCTCGGATGGCCGTGGCCACGCCCACAGTGTGCCCGGCATGGTCATGTCACTTCCAGGTGATGCGCACGTCGGGGAGGAGTTCCCCCGGGGCCCGATCCACCAGCGGTGGGGAACGGGCCTCTGGGGTGGGGGTTTCCCCGCCCCCCGGGGGGGACTTGGGAAGCCTAGGTTCTTTGGGGGTGGGGTTTCCTTCACTGGCCAGCTGGCTGGCTATGGATTGGGGCCCCCAAAATCAGGGGAACCCAGCCCCGATTGGGGGGATGGCAACCCTATGTGGAGGAGTAGGGAATCAAACCCGGTTCTCCAGATTAGAGTCCGCCGCTCTTAACCACTACACCAAACTGGCTCCCAATACTTAGTCCTGTAATATTTTGCACACCTACACTGCTGTCACCAAGAGACTGCAGTGCAAGGATGAATAGCGTACATACACTGGAGTCGATATATTTCGTTTGGAAATACAGTCTAATAAATGCAGTCTGCAAACATATGCGGTGGGCATGCTCTGTAGCTAATACATTCTGGAAGAAAACGTTAAAGGAGACACAATGGACTGCTACATTCCAAATGAACCTAAAATAGTATTATCGGGATTAACAACAGATATTGTTGGAAAATAAGAACATAAGAGCCTTGGCTGGATCAGATAGTCCCTCTAGTCCAGCATCCTGTCTCACACAGTGGCCAAGCAGTTCCTCTGGAGGGCCAACAACAGGGCAGAGAGGCCAAGGCCTTCCCCTGATGTTGCCTCCTGGCTCTGGGATGCAAAGGTTTAGTGCCTCTGAATGTGGCGGTTTCGAGCTATTTATTACCATGGCCATCACTACATCTTCTGGCAGTGGATTCCACATTATTGAGCTATTTATTACCATGGCCATCACTACATCTTCTGGCAGTGGATTCCACATTTTAATCACTCCCTGTATAAAGTAGTATTTCCTTTTGTCCATCCTGAACCTACTGCCCATCAAATTCATTAGATGACCTTGAGTTCTAGCATTTTAAGAGAAGGAGAAAAATTGTCTCTTTGTCATCTCCCCCCCTCCCCTCATGCATAATTCTTTGTCACAAGCATCGGCCTATGATTTTGGAACTAATAACTGCTGCTGATCATTGTCAAGAACCGAAAAGACAAAAAAACATTTGAATGTTAACTACTGGCTGATAAAAGTCTGTAGAGATTGTAAAACTATTTAAGCTGCTGGAAAGTGTTCATGGCAGGTTGAAAGAGCCTAGTTTTTTTTATTCTTGAAAATTATTCGGTAATGAGAATTAAGCTGATCTTTTGACTGGTATAATTATGTAACATTGCTATGAGCAGCTGCAATTTTTGGTAATGAGAATTAAACTTATCTTTTGTAACATTGCTATGAGCAGCTGCAATTTTATATATATTTGGTATTTCTGTTGAATATTGATTATTTATGTGTTATGTTTCTAATTTAAGATAATGTATGCTTTATTCGTATGAGGCTGTCCTATTTTCATTAAATAGTAGCAAACGCTAGAAGTATCTTTTCCAATTGACCTAAGTATTAAATTAAATATTAAAGTTTTGTTAGATCTGGAACTGTATTCTGATATTTTGATATTTCTTGTGAATTTTAACAGACTTGTTATGGGACAAGAACTTAATTAACGTAATGTATTTTAACAGACTTGTTATTATGGGACAAGAACTTAATTAACGTAATATTGTGGGGGGGTGCATATTTAATAATACTTAAACTCGGGGGGGGAGGAACTATTACTTAAAGGAAATCAAGAGTAGCTTCAGTGTTAACAGTGCCCTTGTACTATCAAGTCTGCAGTGTGCAACACCAATGCAGCCAGCTATGTACACCATTTTGAGTCACATCACTATTATCTATTGCTGTACGGATTTACCAAATCAAACTGGAAACTGCTGTAGTATTTCTCTGGTATTTCTATGCTTTTCCCCACAGTCTGCATCCAAACCCTGCCTTGAATCATAAAGTTATCTCTTATTGGTAGTAGCTGCAGCCAATGCTCCCTCTAAGCTGTGGAGTCTTGTGAGCAAAAATTCCACTTTGTGAGCTACCGGCATTAAAGTTGCGAGCGAGCGATTGGGCAATGGCCTAAATTAGTTTGACATCCTTCCCAAGTTAAGGGAAAAAAATGTGTGAGCTGGAGGCTAAAAAAACAGTGAGCTGGCTCACACTAACTCATCTTAGAGGGAACACCGGTGGCATCAGCAGGTGTGGACGCCAGCATCTCCTCCTGTCAGCGAATGCTGCCATGGTGTGGAATGTGTGGGTTGCTCTCCATGTCTCCCTCCTCCCATCCCCCCTTCCTTTCGCCTGCGCGCTGTTATCTGTCTAGTGTCCTTGAAGGCTTTCCTCTGCCAGCTCCTAGCTTCCCGCTGGGAATAATAACCGTTGCTTTTGCCCGCGTCTTCAGGTGCTTGCCTATTGGCTTTACTGCATCAGGGGGTCGTGTATGAATGAAGGGGGTATATCTGTAAGTTCAACTCGTTTGACCGCCATTCCTGACAAAAGAATTCATGATGTCCTAAGTAAGGTAAAGGTAAAGGTTTCCCTTGCTCGAAAGCCAGTCGAGTCCGACTCTAGGGTTGCGGTGCTCATCTCCGTTTCCAAGCCGAAGAGCCAGCGCTGTCCCAAGACGTTTCCGTGGTCATGTGGCCGGCATGACTAAACACCAAGGCGCACAGAACGCTGTTCCCTTCCCACCGAAGTGGTACCTATTTATCGACTTGCAATTTCTTGCTTTCGAACTGCTAGGTTGGCAGGAGCTGGAACTAGAGACGGGAGCTCACTCCGTCATGCGGCACACTCGGGTCTCGAACACCTGAACTACCGACCTTCCACAGCCTGCAGTTCAGCGTCTTAACCACTTGAGCCACCGCAGCTCTTGATGTCCTAAGTACTAACTCTCAATAAACTGAAACTTCTGAAGGAACGTTGTTGAGTGTCTTGACTGGGAACCCTGACACCTCCTATGGAACTACCATTTGGCAGGGGGCTCTCATTTTTGAGCTGCAGAGTAGCAGAAAATTTTCAGGTGTCCCACCATCTCATGCAGTTGCGCCACTCCCAGGGGTCGCTTTGAAGGAATACATGTTCGAAAAGCAGCTCGCAATAATTACCAACCTAGTGACGTGTTGATGTAGCTGCACTTTTGTCCAGAGAGGGACCTTCAGGGTCCCATAAAGCCACAAGTGTTCTCGAACCGTGAGAGAGTCAAACAGCACGTCATACTGAGGACATACTCCCATCTCGGTCCAAATGGCAGCAAGGTCTGTCTCCATGTCCTTCCCGTTGACAATGATGTTGCCAGAGCTAGGTGGGAAGAGGCCCGTTAACATTGATCTGAAATACAAAGGAAGAAGAGAAATCAACAGCAGTAGAATGCGCACGAGGAGGCAGATTTGGAAAGAGCTCTGTTGGAGAGGCGCACACGCCATGGTCAGATGAAGTTGGGTAGCGCCTGGGAGTTTGAGCTGACGGCCAAACGCACATTTTTATTATTTATTATTTATTTATTATTTTCAATTTCTATTCCACCCTCCCTGAATGGGCAGGCTCAGGGCGGCTCACAACAGGCTAAAATACAATAGATTAAATACAATCAAAACATAGATGCATCAACATTGCAACAATCTAAAATTCGAACAATAATCAAATTGATATATAAAGTGCTGTAGGTATAGATGGCAGAGGCATCTCAGAGCTGTTTTAGGTGGTACGGTGTAGCTATGCAGGTACCGCTAGCTGCTCTTATTATTCTTAGTATGAGGGCCTTGGCTGTTCAGTTGTTAACAGTTCAGATGTTACCGATGTGTCAGTGGCGGCTCCTAATCGAAAGCCTGATGGAAGAGCTCCGTTTTACAGGCCCTGCAGAAATGTAGAAGGCTCCACAGGGACCTGATGTCTTCCGGGAGCTCATTCCACCAGTATGGAGCCACCACTGAAAAGGCCCTGGCCCTGGTCGAGGCCAGTCTGGCATCTTTCGGGCCAGGGAGAGTCAGGTGATTTTGCGACCCTGGCCTCAGTGCTCTCTAGGGGACATATGGGGAAAGGTGGTCCCTCAGGTAGGCAGGCCCCCAATCATATAGGGCAAAAGAATCTATCTTGTGTACCCTTCAATGTGGAACTGGATAAGAAAAGGGGTCAGAAGTCCGACATTTCCAGCACACATTTCTTGAGATGTTTCTCAAGAAAAATATTTCATTGGGCAGTCAATGTCTACTCTTTCTAAAGCTCCTTCGCTCTGGGTATTTAAAGGGTTAGATCAGTGGCTTCGTTCCCATTAACCAGCAGAAATGTTAATCAAGCAGAATAAATCTAGTACCCAGCTCAGTCTTATTAGTAATTTATGTACCTTGGGAGATGTAGTGGAGGGGGAGAGAAAATATTTTTTTTAATATTTCATTAATACAAAAAATAAGAAAGGATATCAACTTTTTAATGAAACCACTTTTTTAAAAAAAAATGTGTCTAGAAGGGATTTTCATCTTGGTTGTAGCTCCTCGCTTTCCCCCTTCATTAGATATCCCCCAAGTACAAAGGCTGTAAGTCTAAGAAACTAAGAGACCTGCTCACCGCAGTTGTGCATGAAAGCCTCCCGAACAAGTTTCTCATCTCTGCTCTTTTGACCTGAAAATACCTGTTCTCATTTCACTTCCGCCTTGTGCAAAGCAAACCAGCGATTATCTTCTATTTCCTTGCACCACATTTCCCCCATAAAACATATACATTTGTGCATCCAAATAAACCAACTGTATCTGCTACGTGCCTACGAGGTGTCTATTGTGCACAAACTGGCTGTAAAAAGCACACAACACACATACACGGTGTGAGCAAAACTACAAAGGAAAAAAGAAAAGAAAAGTGGAGAACCGAAGGTGTTGGCAAAAAAAAAATGTGCATGTATATTAAAAAGTAAGTAACACAGGAAACATTCCATCTTCTCTACTTCCAAGAAAAAGAAAAGAAACTTCCTTTGCAGGGAATGGAGGAAACCCAAGAGAAGAAAAACCACCAGTCCGAACAGCAAAGGGACCCTGTTTCTGTGGATGGCAGAGCCAAAAACCTGAGAGGAAATTCTTCCACCTGGAGGGTCTTGCGCACCAAGAGTAGGAGGGATCTGAACAGTGCAATGCTGGACTTGCATTGGGAGGACCAAATGCCTTGGGGACACTCAGCTTGGCTATCAGGGCTATTTTTGGGCAGGAACGCACAGGAACGGAGTTCCGGCTGCCTTCAGAGTTGGCCACGCCCACTACAGCCAAAACCTCTGCGTGTGTTACAGAGGGAAGGCCTGGAGAGCGACACCCCCCCGGCGACTCCAAGGCAGGTGGGCCAGAGGGGCCTGGAAGCATCAGGGAGGCATTTAAATGCCTCCCCATGCATTCCCCAGCCTGTCCAAGGGCCAGCTTGCCCGGGCAAGTCAAGGGAAGGCATGGGGTGTGGCCTAATATGTTAATGAGCTGTGCTGTCAGGGGTGTGGCTTAATATGCTAATAGGGTTCTGCTGTTGGGTGTGGCCTATTATGCTAAGGAGTTCCTGCTGGGGGTTTTCTACAAAAAAAGCCCTGGCTATGACGCTCACTGCATGACTTTGGGCAAATCCTCATCCTCATTTGCCGGGGTTGTTGTGAGGGTAAAATAGGATCGCGCGTGAGCTGCCTTATACCAAGTCAGGGCATCGGTCTACCAAGGCCAGCGTGGTCTACTCTGACGGGCAGCAGGTCTCCAGGGCCTTCCCCATCACCTTTGACCAGATCGTTTCAAAAAGAGATGCTGAGAATTGAACCTGGGACCTTGTGCTTGCAAAGCAGACGTCTTGCGCTACAACCCCTAGAAGCGTAGAACCATAGAGTTGGAAGAGACCTCCAGGGTCATCTTGTCCAACCCCCCTGTACAAAGCAGGAAATCCACAACTACCTCCCTCCCCCATCCTTGCTGCTCTGTTGAGCCCACTGGAGGAATGAAGGAGGGCTGTCAACTTTTCTGCATTCTGGCCCTCCCTTCTTCTGGAGAAGAGAACTCTTTCCTGCCTACCCCCATGGCCTCGCTCGCCAAGAAAAGGAGGAACCCGTATAGTGCCTGCAATCGGGGAGAGCAGATTCAAAACCCCGATTAACCCTGAAGGGCGTTCCATCACCTGGGGTGAATCACCAGCCTCTGATCCTAACCTACAGGGCCTTTTTATTATTATTATTCTTTCATTTTAGTTTAATAAGGAACCAACATATCGAATAAAAATCATGTTAAGAAGCAAAGAGTTCCAGGATGAACATTGTCACGCATCTTAAACGTAAACATGCTAAGCATTTGCAAGAGAAAACATTTTCAGCTCCTTAAGAAAGTTCCCCCTTTTGGGAAATCTTGCAAAGAGAATCCCACCCACCCACCCACCCCCTGTGCAGCATTCAGGCAGTAGCACCAGTGTGAACCTCTTTACAGTCCCAGCGAGTCACAGCATCAGCGCAAGTTTTGGTATGAGAAACTACCTCTCTTCTTCCCAGTAAGTTAGGTTGTGACACAGCCAATCAGATCTGGTTATGTGGTAACCTCACTTGGACAAACATAGCCACTTCAGAGGAAGGGAGGGAAATGCCTACATGGCCTTTCGGAGGATAAAACCCTGTCCTTGCTCCCCCTGGCACTTTTGGGGGAAGGCCAGGCGAGAGTCTGATCAGCTAGGCCAGTGATGGCGAACCTTTTAGAGACCGAGTGCCCAAACTGCGACCCAAAACCCACTTATTTATCGCAAAGTGCCAACACGGCCATTTAACCTGAATACTGAGGTTTTACTTTAGAAAAAACAACTCATACATTAACTTAAGATGATCCAAACAAAGTAAGGAAAGCAATCCCAAATGCTTTCATTGACTTAAAATTATTTGGCAGAGAATTTGACACTTTAATGATGGTCTGGGCCTGGCTGGGGCAATGGCACGCGTGCCCACAGAGAGGGCTCTGAGTGCCACCTCTGGCACCCGTGCCATAGGTTCGCCACCACTGAGCTAGTAAATCTGAAGGAAGAAGGTGAGCCTTGCTTGCCAATATACTCATCACACCAAGAAAGTACATACATGACCGTTGTCTTTCCGGCTCCATTCGGACCCAGGAGAGCCGTGATGTGCCCTTTATAGAAAGCCAGGCTGAGGTCTTTGACAGCAGTCTTGTTGCTCTCCGGGTACTCCTTGGTCAGGGACCTCAGCAGAACTCCTACTTGGTTTGCTTCCTCGCCACCCTTCTCCAGGTCTTTTCGAAGGGAACCTGGAAACAGCAGAAATAGAAAGATCCGGACAAACAGAAAGAGACGGTGCCTTCTCGTGATGAACATAAAGACTGTAAATGGAAATTAAGTTCAAGGGCCTGGGTTCTGCCCACTAGTAGGGTTGCCAGCTGTGGGTTGGGAAACACCTGGAGATTTGGTGGGTGGAGCCAAGTGAGGGCGGGGTTTGAGGAGGGGAGGGGCCTCAGCAGGGTGTAACACTATAGAGTCGACCTAATTGGCCATTTTCTCCAAGGGAATAGAGATTTTGGTTACTTGGAGATCAATTGTAATAGCGGGAGATCTCCAGGTGCTGCCTGGAGGTTGGCAACCCTATCCACTAGTGGAGTTCCATTTCTTCCCCCCCCCCGCCACGGAAGGGCCGTGCTATGTTAGTGGAAGAAAAGTACTGGTTGACAGCCAGGACCTAAATAAAATGTTAATGCATAATAAAATGTTAATACAATGAACAATACACTGTGATCACAGACTCATCTGTTTCCGGGCACAATGCAAAGAGCTGGTTCTTACCTGTAAGGCCCTAAACAGTTTGGGGCCAGGGTACCTGACTCCTCCCATACTATCCATCCCACAAGTTAAGATCTGCCTCTAAAGCCCTGGGGTCTGTGCCCCTACCTTCAGAGGTGAGGCAAGTGGCGACCAGAGACAGAGCATTTTCTGTGGTGGCACCTCGCCTTTGGAACATACTTCCCCTTGAGCCTCACCTGGTGCCTATCTTACTTTCTTTTAAGGCACCAGGTTAAAACACATCTTTCCCACCCAGGTTTTTAATTGGAGGTTATATCATCTGCTTTTTAATTGTCTGCTTCAGCTATATGGCTATATGGCCAGAAGAGAGCCAGTTTGGTGTAGTGGTTAAGTGCGCGGACTCTAATCTGGGAGAACCGGGTTTGATTCCCCACGCCTCCACTTGCACCTGGCTGGACGACCTTGGGCAAGCCGTAGTTCTGTCAGAGCTGTTCTTGAAAAAGAGCAGTTTCTGTCAGAGCTCTCTCAGCCCCACCTCCCTCACATGGTGTCTGTTGTGGGGAGGGGAAGGGAAAGGAGTTTGTAAGGCACTCTGAGCAGAGGTCATTTCGGGGGGGATCGCGGGGGATCGCAGTTCCCCCGGGTGACATCCTCCGGGGTCGCCACCGCCGCCCCATCAGGAACCTCGCACGAGGGCATCGCTCCATTTGACTTGGCCCACCCCGAACGATGTGTTTAGGTGTACTTGGTGGCGGCTTTCTGAACACATATAAACCGGCCTGTGAGCGGGGTTCCTTTGTCTTGTTCCTGATCTAATAAAGTACTCTTGCTGAATCACTCTTGCTGAATCACTCCACGTTCTGAGTACTTTTCAGGGGTTGTCAGCAACCCCTGTCTACGCACGAAGAGGACAACCCGGGTCAGAGAAAAAAGGGCGATACCACAACCTGGGGAACAGGACGAGCAAGAACCAACAATCAGACCACCTGGAGAAGGAGAGTAGAGGAAGAGGAGGCCAACCACCAAGAAGAGGAAAAAGAAGAGAACATCAAGCAGGACCAACAAGAGAAGACGCTGGGAGAAGACAAGGGAGAGCCTTATGGCTTTAAGTGGGAGGGGCGGAATTTAAAAGGAATAAAGTTGTCCAAAATCTTATCCGGTGAGGAAAAGGTTAGCATGAACGCAAAGACCTGATCAGCTGTGCTGAAACACTGATAGGGAGCTTTCATGCTGATAAAAGGCGTCATTAAGTGGAAGGACTTCCCTTCCGAGTGACTAGCCGAGTTCTGAGGGGAGAAAACGGACAGCTGTTTCCTGAATACTCCGCTCCCACCTTAAGCTAAGGCAACGTGAGACGATGAATGTGACAGGGGTAAGTTGCTGGACTTGACCAAAAAGATCATAGAGGATGTTTCTGTACACAGAAACAGAGCTAGCCTGGCCTGTCAGTTAAGTCTGACAAAGAGGGTATCCAGAGACCCCAAACAGAATAGCTTGGGAGTGGAGCAAGAAAACAAAGTAGTAATGTAAGTCTAAGGCCTTGTGTAGATTAGAAACTGCCTACCGCATATCGAGAGATATTATTTGTTGAAGCCTAGGTGCAGAAAAGTCTGAGTATGTCAAGAATGTCCCAGTTCACAGAAATGAAAAGGGGGAGGGGTGGGAAAGAAATGAAAATATTCTTCAAAGACGAGTCTGTCAGCTTGGGGCCAAAACAGTATGCCCTTATCAGTTAGCTATTGTTAAGAGATGATGTTAAAATCCTATAAATATGGGAAGTTGAACTGTTCAAGAACTTCTTCTCGGAAGGGGTTCCTTGCTTATTTTTGGAGCAAGACGCTTTTGTGGACTCATGTAACTGCTTTAATTATCTGTGTAACAAGGATGAATGGTACAACGTTTGGTTGATTTAGTCCGTGCTAATAATGCAACGTAAAATGAAGCAGAGATTCTCTAATAGTATTATGTGTGTGCTATACCCTTAATGAATCTAAACTGTTTATTGAGGTGTACCTCTCCCTAGGAGTTAAATAATCTGATACAGGAAAACTAGATGCTTGGGCTTCTTAAGCGCACACCTATACCTGAATCTGGCTTGACTTCACTCATCCAGAACACTTTGATGTGGCTTCATAACATTTTCTGTGTTGCAAAGTTCCTTCTGTTTCTTATTGTATCAATATTCGTCCACTGTGATTCTCTTTCAATAACTCCCTTTTGGAGGGATTCCCCTTCCTGTGCTCGACTTCCGACAGCCAATTTTCTCATTTTCTGGCTTCTGTATTAGTCTTCTTACCTGTTCCCTGTATGTTCCTCTGCTTAGAATTAGATTCTCCCCCCTCCCCCCAAGCATAACCCAGTCTCCCGATATATATATATTTTTCATTAAAATGTCTGCGGACAAAGGAACACATGCTGCCCACCTCCACTCTTGTGTGATGTGATTTCTCTGTAATAAGTTTAAATTCAATTTTCCTTGAAATGGCTCCCTCATTTATAGAAGAGGTCAAGGGTGACCGTCATCTGTCTGGAGCCTCTTATGTTGTTATCGCTTTACCTGCGCACAGCAGAATTCAAACGCCTCCAGAGATCTGCTCCTGCATGTAAAAATCTGCATGCTAAATGACAGCTTCGCTGATGGAGTCGGACTCTGATGCCGAAGAATATCGTTTCCTGGAACCATTGGCTCCTCTTCGACACCCACTTTCCTTCAGCGTCGCTTTATTGCTTGGGATGTGTCGACTCCCAAGTTTCCGTATTGCCTTGAGGGTCTTCAGATCGACTGCGCCGTTTATAAATATTATGAATAAAACTAATAAACTCTTCTGGCAGAAGGCAATAAAGTTCTTTACCGTTTAAGTGACAGGCAGGATCAGAAGGCCCTTTCTTTATACCACTTCTGCATTATGCAGAAGAAAGGTGAAGACAATTTCCAGCAGTAACTGGTAGTAACTGAGCAGAGATACACCATCTTAAGCTCCTTGACTTCAGTGGACTTAGGAGGGTGTAACTCTGCTTAGAACTGGCTGTTAGCCTGCTAAATCACAAGGTTATAAAGGCCATGTGGAAAGTGGTCATGGCCTGCTATCCACTGCAAGATAAAAAGAGGGAATGAAAGTAATTCCTTCAAAAAACCGTGTCCTGAGATAGCCTACCGAGGATCACATGGTTATACCCCAAAGGATGACTCCGTCTCTTAAAAGCCCTCTCCAACAGAGGGAAGGAGGATGAAAATTTGCCCTGGTCCGCCAACACATTCTGTTTACCCTCCTCTCCTGGTTTGCTGTGGTAAGCAAGACATGTCTGGCTTTGGGAAAACAACTGCAAAGCAGCGTGGAAGTTTATCTCCCCCGACTTATAAGTAGGGTTGCCACCCTCCAGGTGGGGCACCGTAGATCCCCCTGGAATCACCACTGCTGTCCCGACTACAGAAATCACTTTTCTATTACTTATTTGTTTGAAACAGTCATTCCGCTTCTCCTGGAGAAAGTGGCTGCTTTGGAAGGGGGACTCTCTGGCATTATTCCCCATTGAAGTCCCTCCCCTCCCTAAATCCCGCTCTCCCAGGCTCCGCCCTCAAATCTCCGGGTATTTCCAAACCTGGAACCCTACTTATTGTTGGAAGTTCCAGATGCCATGTCCCCTGTCTCAGACCTCCAGACTTTGTGGCAAGAGAGACTAGATAGCTAGATAGGCACACTGACCTTTCTTCCTGTCTTCACTCTTCTGCCACTGTCCCCTTTGAAATGCAGATTGTGTTCTCAGGGACCTTTCACCCTTCCTTCTGTTCGCTCTCAGCTGAGTTGAAGACAAGCTCTCTTCCTGTACGTACCAAGGGAGGGGCATGCAGTCCTCTCTTGGCACCACAAGGCAAATGGGCCTCTCGCCATCTGCTTCCATCCTTTAGCTAGTAAGTTAGTACGATATCCCGTCTCTGCTCTTTCCTATCCAAAGTGTACTTCTCAAATAAAGGGAGGAGTATTTCGCTTCTAAACTTGCAGCGTGTCTCTGTGTAACTTTGTAAGTTGAGTCACCTGGTAAAGTGACGCTGCTGCATTTGTAGCTTTATTTAAGCACTCTGCTAACTAGTGGTAACTGGACTAACCACACCAGATAACCCCGATACTTATAAGGATCTAATTTTAAAAATTAATGGGATCGGGTTAGGCAACTTCCATTTACACTGGGACCATCTTCCCAACCCAGAAACAAACACACTAATCAAAAAACCAGCCTATAACCAACCCTAACTAAATATAAGACAACTGGAAAAAGTTGAAAATATGTCACATTTATTTATTTCTGTGCTGCCTCTTATTTATTTATTATTTATCTATTTTTCACATTTGTATCCCGCCCTCCCCAATGGGCTCAGGGCGGCTAACAAGGGCAAGGTAATTAGCCGTGCCATAATTAAAACATATAAAACAGAATAAAAACATCCAACACTTAAAAACAGCAGTGCTCAATCAATTACAGATATCAAAAAATCCAAGATGGAATCAACACAGTTCCAGGTGGTACTCCCATGATATTTGTGCCCAATGGCAACGGCTTATTGGATCTTCTTTTTGAATAAAGAACTAAAATAGAGCAAGGTACAGGAATTAAGACTTAAACAAATCTAACACTACAAATCTGAAGTATTATGAAATAAATCTGAAAATATCTAACACTGTAAAATCTGGGGCATGTGATGATTCAGAGTTACTGCAAACTCCACATCATTCCCTCCATTTCAAATCTGAAAAGAGTTGGATCACTAGATACTATGACAATCTTCCTCTGGCCCCTGAGCCTTACTTACAAACTTGCATCTACTAATTCAGGCCCAGTTCTTATTGAAGTTGTAAAATTATTTCCCAGCTTTACCATTTTTGGAATGTAGCAGAGAGCTAAGAAAATCCTTTTGGGGGGCAAGATTCCAGCCTAGCCTTTTCCCTAACATGCTAATGTTCTATCAGCAGGGATTTTCTTTTTGTATGTGGGAGCATTCAGTCTGTAGTCGAAAGTGCAGACACGGGTTTACCACCTCGCAAAAACTAAGCATTAGTTGTCAAAAAAGAGATTTAGCGGCTGTAGATTTTCTGGGTTGTGTAGCTGTGGTCTTGGCATTGTAGGTTCTACAATGCTGAGACCACGGCCACACAACCCAGAAAATCTACAGCATCTAATGAACTCCGGCCGTGAAAGCCTTCGACAAGATCAAAAAGAGAGTGTTTCATTTATTCTGAGCTTCTTCTTTTGTCAGCCACCAGTGTGACTACTAAGACCTCTTTGTGCGGTTGTTACCACCTTTGCAACTGCTCCCATGGTGACCTTCATAGAAGTAAAAATTGGTGTGTGATTCTCCATGACAGTGTTTATAGAACAGGTGGCACATCTCTCAAAGAACTGGGATTCAACTCCAAGTTGGGTAAACTTGCTGACAGGAAGGATCACATGGTCAGAAGTTCTGCAAAAAATGAGACTGGACTCGGGGTCTTCTGGAGAGGACTCTCTTTCTGAAAAAGGGGCCACTGCCCCTAAAAGTCCATATAAACTGAGGAAAATACAAGAAAAGAAAAAATGAAGGCTGAAGGACTCTGAATTGTACCTTTGAAAATAGGGTTTTTAATAATAGGATGCTCTGGTGTTTCTCTCTAACACTTAAATCTAAATGTTAAAAGATATTTTAGCATGTCTGACTAAGTTCAAAAGATATCAGCGATTTAAGGAATAATTTTGTACTTAAGCTGTTTTAATGATCTTCTCTTGGGGTTTTAGTTAGTAATGGTTATCTTTACTTTCTCCTTAATTGTAGTTCCCTTCCCTTATTTCTTTGTAGCTTGTAGTCTAATTAAAAAAAGCAATAAAAAATCTCCTCCGGGGGGGCCAAAAAAAACCCCAAAAAACCACAAGCCGTTAAAAACGCAAGCAGCTTAAAAGAAGAAGAAGAAGATATTGGATTTACACCCTGCCCTTCTCAACACAAGGGTGTCTCTGAGCGGCTTACAAACTCCTTTCCCTTCCCCTCCCCACAACAGACACCCTCTGAGGTAGGTAGGGCTGAGAGAGCTCTTGACAGAAACTGCTCTTTTTCAAGAACAGCTGTGCCAGAACTATGGCTTGCCCAAGGTCATCCAGCAGGTGCAAGTGGAGGAGTGGGGAACAAAAAATTGCAAGAGTACTAATGTTTTAAGCACGTTTTTATTTTAAGTAAAAAAAAAAACCTTTGTGTTTGTATCCTTTATAAAGTTTATATCTCCACTACCTGGCATTACATTTTATGACACACGTGGCCTGGTCCAACAAGGTCTCAATTATGTCAGATCCGGCCCTCATAACAAATGAGTTCGACACCCCTGCTCTAGAGTAACCAGTTGGCCACTGTGTGAGACAGGATGCTGGACTAGATGGACTACTGGTCTGATCTAGCAGGGCTCTTCTGATGTTCTTTTGCTAGTAACCTTAAGTTAATGCTGCAGTGTGAAAGAGTGAGATGGTCAAGGCTTGTAGCCAGAAGTGTTATGTGGAGGGGGTATTAAAGACAAGCTGGAGAAGTGTAGTATCATAAATCAATGTGAAACGACAGAAAGCAAAGTCAGATATGTTTAAAGTTGTTTCATGTATCCGTTTAAAGTGCATTTGATTTTAAAGTGCCAAGTAACCAAGCGCTCACCTAGGGTAACCACTGACAGATAATTCCACTCAGCCAGAGGTGTTCTGAGAACAGGTCTACTCTGCATCCTAGTCAGGTTTATTCAATGGGACTTACTCACCAGGAAAGTGTTCTTATGATGGCATGATTTCATGTTCCTGAACCTTCAAAGAGAGCACCTGAGCAGAGTTCGGGGTTGCCGGTGGACAGGGAGGAAGGCAGGGCCGCAGACGCTGATCCTTCTCCGCCTACACCTTACTCAGTCTGTACATTGCTGTTTCTCTTCCTAGGGAACTGGGCTCCCTTATTGCTATCGATTTCTTAATATTCGAATTAGCATTTGTAAAAGGAAGCAATCGCGGTGAGAACATTAAGAGCACTTGTTTAAGAAACCTAAAATGGGGGGGGGTAGTTTCTTCTGAGGAAGGGTTCTGAAGCAATTCATTTTTTAATTTTAAAATCTATAGAATGGAAGATCAGCTGCCCGAGGATAGTCTGTTTAATTAAAAGATTCAGGGGGAATGGGCACATGTTCAGAAGCACCCACAAGAGCAGCTGTCATACAGGTTAATACAGGGAGAAATAGTTATTCAGATATACCACCACAGCTCCCCTTTCCTAGTGCCAGCCAAGTGCTTTTAGAAAATGGGTGGGGCTAGGCGGGGCATTTGCCCAGCGGGGGTTTCTGATTGGCTGTGCAGTTTAAAAGCCATCCTGTCAAACTGAGCTTCTGCATAAAATGGTGAAGAGGTACTAATAGAGTTATATAAAATCCCGCTCCCTGACATTTTGTGGTTGGCTCCGCCTCCTGCAGCAGCCATTTTATTATTGGCTCCACCTCCTGCGGCAGGCATTTTATGATTGGCTCCACCTCCTGCGGCAGCCATTTTGTGATTGGCTCCACCTCCTGCGGCAGCCATTTTATGATTGGCTCCGCCTCCTGCGGCAGCCATTTTATGATTGGCTCCACCTCCTGCGGCAGCCATTTTGTGACTGTGCCCACCACCCCATGTCAGAATTCCAACAGTGCTGAAAAAAGTCAGGGAACCCTGGAATATACCTTCAAGTGCCAGAAATTCGGGAGGATCACTGATTTATCTCATTTCCATAATTCCTTGTTTCTCATGATAACATGAAATGAAGATTCTAACAAAGGCGTTTCAAAAAAATACCGAAGGCCTAGCAATTGTGCAGCAGCACTGTGTGTGGAAGGAATATGAATTTATCATGCACACTTAATGGCCTACAGTGTAACTGTACTTAGACATAATTACAGATATTACATTGGAAATATTAAAAATTGTGTTTTTTAAGTTAACACAACCATATGATTTTTTAAAAAAAATAAGATCAAGTTATGAATGCAGAAGTAGCCACAGAGGCAGAGGACCACTACAACGAGTACATCATGCAGCAAAAGAATGGGATACTAAAGAATATTGCACATCCCTATTGCTTGGAAGTTTTCATTCACAAAAAACAGAGCAGGATTAAAGGAAGACTGCTTTTTGATTCTGACACCACACATCTTCTTCCAGTAAGTCAGAGAAAATGGGAAATGCCATGGTCTTCTCAACCCAAACCTTCCTAGAAGTCAGATACAAGAATGGAATCAAATACCCATGCTTATGTTTTCAGATAAATATAAGGGATGTATATTTCCTTTGCCCTGACCTGGAGGGCCCAGGCTAGCCTGATCTCGTCAGATCTCAGAAGCTAAGCAGGGTCGGCCTTGGTTAGTACTTGGATGGGAGACCACCAAGGAGGTCCATGATTGCTGTGCAGCCACAGGGAATGGCAAACTGTCTCTGTTCAACTCTTGCCTTGAAAACCCCATAAGGGGTCTCCATAAATTGGCTGAGACTTGACAGCACTTTCCACCACCATATTGTTTACAATCATACACAGCTCTTAACCGTGCTGTCCTCCATTAGAATTCATTTGGGAGGGGGCTCTCCCATAGGGCTCTTTTTGTAGCAGGAACTCCTTTGCATCTTAGGCAACACACTCCTAGTGTAGCCAATCCTCCAAGAGCTTACAGTAGCCCCCGTAAGAAGAGCTCTGTAAGCTCTTGGAGGATTGGCTACATTAGGGGTGTGTCGCCTAAGATGCAAAGGAGTTCCTGCTACAAAAAGAGCCCAGTGTTGAAATTCACTGCAAGTAGCAAGGGATTGTGAAGGCAGGAATAAAACACAAACTATCAAGAGTCTAACCAATTTGTCCCCAACATAGTTCTAATTGTGGATAAACAAATTGTACTAGGACATGGATGCATAACTGAATGCACATGGGAATGCACGTTCCATTCCAAGCAATGCAGTAGAGGCTAGCATTTGCTCCGGTGACTCTGCAGTCAGTACAGTGTTGGCCTGGGGGTATTTGAATGTGGTTTTGAGCCGCATCTTTTTCTGTTCCAGCGTGGGTTTCGTAAAACAGCGGAGCAAATGCGAGATGCAGATTGGCCCTATGTCACACCTCAAAACTGGGGGGAGAGGGAGGCAGAGTTGTGACAAAGGGTTGACTGGCCATTGGTTGAAATGTGGTAGAGGGAGACAAAAAGGTAAAGGTAAAGGTTCCCTTGCTCAAAAGCCAGTCAAATCCGACTCTAGGGATGCGGTGCTCATCTCCGTTTCAAAGCCAAAGAGCCAGCGCTGTCCGAAGACGTTTCCGTGGTCATGTGGCCGGCATGACTAAACACCGAGGCGCACGGAACGCTGTTACCTTCCCACCGAAGTGGTACCTATTTATCTACTTGCAATTTCTTGCTTTTGAACTGCTAGGTTGGCAGGAGCTGGAACTAGAGATGGGAGCTCACTCCATCATGCGGCACCCGGGTCTCGAACTGCTGACCTACTGACCTTCCACAGCCTGCAGATAGAACATACTGTCTGGGTAGTTGAAAAAAAATGTGTGAAAGCCTCCTTATGTCAGGGAAAAAGTCTAAGGAGCCATACTGCAGAACAGAAAAGCAAATCTGTAGTGAGATATTTCTGCTACACCATTTGGGTTCAGAGATTGGTGCTTTGTTCTTATGGGTGCCACCGTCCTCCGTTATATCAATGCTATGGCAGACTGCAGCCCTCCATTCAACACATTTTCATATGGCCCAGCTTTCAAATGCGAGTAATGACAGAGTATCGTACTGGAACCAGTTTGCAGATACACAATGCAGTCCTAAACCAAGTTACACTCTTCTAAGTCCATTGAAGTCAATGAGTTTAGGAGAGTATAACTCTGCTTAGGATGACATTGCTAATGCCTTTAGTATTCAGCAGACAACGTATCAAGGATTGAAGCAATGTCCGTCCCCCCCACCTTAAATCAACTATAGAAAAATGGAAGGAAAATCTACTTAGCCAGATGCTAAGAAAAAGGAGGGATGAGAGAGGGGGTGACTCTTTAGACTTACCAGGAATAATATTGCTGAAATACCATCCAATCATAAAATAGATGATGGAGTCAAGTAGAATCATCCAACATGCCCATCCGAAGGTCATGGGTCCTCCTTTTGCCAAGGGCTGGTAAATGTTGTTCCACTGAATTCCTAACAACAATAAAAGATAAGAGGAATGGTGCTGTTACAGCAGGTTTCCATTCGGCTTAGGTTCTCACTGCCGATTGGCTGTTTCACATTGAGGGGCTGGACAGCTTCATGTCCATCACAGTAGGTTAGAATGTGAGAGGGTAACCAACCCAAGGTCACCCAAGGTCATAGCAGAGGCAGGAATTTGGACCTGGATCTCCCAGATCCCATTCTGACACTCTAACCACTGGCTACCGATAGCATACCGAATTTGCTTCAAGGTGCTGGTGCTTACCTTTAAAGCCTTTTATGGTCAGGGACCTACATTCCTGAGGGACTACCTTTCCCCACATGTTCCCCAGAGAGGGGGGTCCCAACATCAATTGGCCCTCCCCGGACCCAAGGATGCCAGGCTGGCTATAACCAGGGCCAGGGCTTTCTCAGTGGTGGCTCCTCTCTGGTGGAATGAGCTCCCAGAAGAGATCAGGGCCCTGCAGGACCTCATGCAGTTCCACAGGGCCTGCAAGACAGAGCTCTTCCACCAGACCTTCAACTAGGAGCCGCCCCCAAGAGTTGGAATGGCAGAGAACCCTGTCCCCTTGGAGTCACCAGAAACAGCCTGTGCCAACTGCACAAAGAATTAGATCTATGGGCTGACTGCTAGGATAGATCACTGAAGGTTGGCTGCCATCATCTAATAATCTAATAATATTAATCTATTAGTATTATTTGCCTAGCACCTTTTAACGTTGGAGTGTTTTATATGGTTTTAGGATTATATAAATTGCTTACTTGTGTGTTTTTATCCTTTTATGTAAGCTGCCTTCAGCTGGGAGAGCAAGGTATAAATCTGATAGATAAATAAATAAATAAAACAACTCACTGGTTCTTGGTTGGTTGGGAGAAGAGAAACCATAATGTTAGATTGGAAGCCGGTCCTCTTGAATACTTAAAGGTTTCCAGCCACGTCCTGGTAAGCAGCTGGAGCATTTGACTCATGACATGACTTCCAGCTGAGTGCCATAAAGATCGGGGGAATTCCTAGCGTCTCACGACATCAACTCTGGGTACAACCAGACGTTGCATGGCGGCAATGTTTCTTCCCGCTCCCCATTTTTGCTCCCCTTGGAGTGAAGAGCTCCAGCAGGGATTGGGGCCCAAGGACGGGAGACTGCCTGCCACTCCCAGGCAAAAACCACAGATAACACCCAACAAGGGAAGACCAGCAACAATTCACAACTCTATAGGATCAATACTGTATATTACATTCATTAAAGTACAAAGACGGGTTAGTGGTCGTAACCCAGTAGAATGTATAAACACATATCCAACAGATTGCTCATAACAACTAAGCACTGTTTACAAAAAGAGCATGTTCAAAACCAACAGTAGGCTCCTCTGTCGTTCTGTACATAAATAGTGTCAATTTGTTGTTGTTCAGTCGCAAAGTCGAGTCCGACTCTTTGCGACCCCATGGACCAGATCACGCCAGGCCTTCCTGTCTTCCGCCGTCCTCTGAAGTTTGCTCAATTTCATGTTCGTTGCATCTATGACAACTTGTCATAGTGTCTATAGACCTCCAAAAAAGAAAGCAACTGCAGCAGAAGACCACTGTGGAAAGAATAACAGCTGCACATATCTCCAAGATATAAAGCAAGACGTTTCAATGATCTTCAACAGCGGCTGGTAAAATGGAAGCCAGTTTCCAAAATAACACAGGCATCGCTCAGTAACGTCAATGGAATCCTAGGGATGTTGACGGTCTTCCCTTGGTGGGTGTTATTTGTGGCTATACTTGTATGTTAAGGGTTCCCTATTGTCTTTGGCGGGCCGCAGTGGCTCAAAGATTAAGATGCTGAGCTGCAGACCGGAAGGTCCGTAGTTCGGCAGTTCGAGACCCAAGTGCCATGTGACAGAGTGAGCTCCCGTCTCTGGCCCCAGCTCCTGCCAACTAACAGTTCGAAAGCAAGAAATTGCAAGTAGATAAATAGGAAGAAGAAGAAGAGATTGGATTTATACCCCGCCTCACTACCCAAAGGTGTCTCAGAGCAGCTTACAAACTCCTTTCCCTTCCCCTCCCCACAACAGACACCCTGTGAGGTAGGTGGGGCTGAGAGAGCTCTTGACAGAAACTGCTCTTTTTCAAGAACAGCTGTGCCAGAGCTACAACTTGCCCAAGGTCATCCAGCCAGGTGCAAGTGGAGGAGTGGGGAATCAAACTCGGTTCTCCCAGATTAGAGTCCGCGCATTTAACCATGACACCAAACTGGTACTGCTTCAGTGGGTAACAGCGTTCCCTGCACCTCAGCATTTAGTCATGCCGGCCACATGACCACGGAGAAGTCTTTGGACAGCGCTGGCTCTTCGGCTTGGAAACGGAGATGAGCACCGCAACCCTAGAGTCAGATTCGACTGGCTTTCGAGCAAGGGAAACCTTTACCTTTATTGCCTTTGGCACTCCCAGACAAAAGGCATCCCAATGAATACTACTTTAAACATATAATAAACTGTAATGTTGGCCCCAAAACATAGAGATTGGGAACATTCCTGCCCCTTCCCCATGCCTTGCCCCCCAAATCCTCCTGTGACTGCCCAGGTGCGGGCCTGGCATCCCTACCAGGGCTCTTTTTGTAGAAAAAGCCCAGCAGGAACTCATTAGCATAATAGGCCACACCCAGCAGCAGGAACTCATTAGCATATTGGGCCACACCCCTGACAGCACAGCTCATTAGCACATTAGGCCACACCCCCATGTTACCAGAAGTGTGCTCATCCAACCACACCCACCTTTTGCTTCTTATTCTGTTTACCTTGTTTGTTGTCAAAACCCAGGGCTTTTTTGTAGCAGGAACTCCTTTGCATGTTAGGCCACACACCCCTAATGTAGCCAATCCTAATGAGTTTCTGCTGTTGGGTGTGGCCTACTATGCTAATGAGTTTCTGCTGGGCGTGGCCAACTTGGGAGCCAGCCGGAACTCCGTTCCTGTGCGTTCCTGCCCAAAAATAGCCCTGCCTATCCCAACTTGAAACAGATTCAATGAAGATTACTTTTGTAATAAACTATCTTACCTAGTTCTTGCCCTTCAAGTAAGGTCAGGAGAAACACTCCTTGCCCAAAGGCAGTTGTAGACAGAAAGCACTGCAAAAGAAATGGGAAAATTATCAGCCCTAATACAATGGGGTAAAATGCAATGAACCCCAATTGAACGGCTGCACCTTCAAACGGGGGGGGGGGGATACAAAGCAGCAGAACAGATTTCCCCGTTATCACAACCCAATCCTGACTACCATGTGGAACCTGTGCTTTTCAACAGAAATATTCTTGCCAGAATGAAACATCATGGGGATAGCCAATCGATTCCTGAAAGAGTTGCAACCTTACAGAGAGAAATATAAATCCATCACACTTTATAGCTGTATAATGCATAACATTGGAGAAGTGTATAGAGTAATTTATTTTCTCACAAGGGGCCGGCCTAAGGGACGCCTGAACTCCAAACCGGACAAAGTATGCCGGTGCTAAGCAACTTCTCATTATTTCACAAGGAAATCAAAACAAGGCCACCGCGGGATCGAGAGGTAGCGAAACGCCGAAGAATAGAATGTTCGGTGGTAGAATTCAGCAGGGATGATATAATTCAAGCATAGAGATGGGAGCGGGGAACCAAGCAGTCAGCACAGAGAGAACCAAACCATTTTTGAGAAAGGATTTTTTTTTAAAGAAGAAGAAGAACCCTGTTACAAGACATACGCCAAGTGGGACGCATACCTTTACAAGCATGACAGCTACATTTTTTAAAAAAATTAAAAAGTACATTGCCATCCATAAAGTGTCTTTTTCAAAAACGAATTCCATGGCCAGTTTTTCCGGGGAATATCCCGTGCGCCCTTATGCAACTCCCACTGATTTCATTGGCGCATCTGCAGCAGGCATTTCTACATGGTGTTACTGGAGAGCCAGTTTGGTGTAGTGGTTAAGTGCGTGGACTCTAATCTGGGAGAACCGGGTTTGATTCCCCCACTCCTCCACTCGCACCTGCTGTTGCACCTGCTGATGTGACCTTGGGTCAGTCACAAGCTCTGGCACAGCTGTCCTTGAAAAAGAGCAGTTTGTGTCAGAGTTCTCTCAGCCCCACCCACCTCACAGGGTGTCTGTTGTGGGGAGGGGAAGGGAAAGGAGTTTGTAAGCCGCTCTGAGACTCCAAGTGAAGGGCGGGGTATAAATCCAATCTCTTCTTCTTCTGCTTCTTCTTCTACTCCAGATTTACCTGTGCGTTTCAGGTTCTTTCATGCATATTGCTATTTGAGAGAGCAAATATTCTGTGTTCCCAGAGAATACTTATTCCTCCCTCTCCCCCCACTATCTAGCACCTTGAAAACAAAGGCTCCCATTGTGATACTATTCAGAATTCCCTCCACAAAAGGGTGTGCGTGTGTGGGGAGGGTTGCCTTCTTATGATAATTTCTTATGTTTCTCATGCGTTGAGCACAAGCCACAAAGAAACAGAACCTTAGAACTCAATCCCCAGGGGGATTCAGGTGCCTCTTTCTCTACTGGTGTCTTTCACCAGCAGGCGAAGACATTTCTGTTTCATTCGACATACCCCCCCCCCATAATGGCTAGTAGCCCTTCTTCGTGGTTCTGGCTTTGTTTATGTGCTTTTATTGAATTGTTTTATAACTTTAGATGTGTTTTTAAGTGTGTTTACCACCTTGGGAATCAGGTGGAAAGGTGGGATTAAAATGTTTTAAATAAATATTTAACACAGCGGTTTTCAAACTTTCCACATTCTTGCCACAATCTTTTCCACGTGCAATTGTCTGCTGAGGGGCTTGTGTGTGTGTGTCATAGAGGGTTCTAGGACATGTATTAGGAAGGCTTCACAGTTCAGTCTGTCTCGTGGTCACGGCTGATGATAGAGAGTGTGACCTAGAACACACACTGACTCTTTTCTGTAGCTGCCCTCCCATGAGAAGAGAGTTGGCAGCAGGCAGTCATTCAGGAAGGAGTGTCTAAGGCTGATTTCGCACTAGAGCTGTCTCGCGGTTGCGCCACCGTTTGCCCCGAAACTATTGGTCAATTTCACACCCGAAGCCGCGGGGCTGCATTTGACCCGCGGCTTCGCCCGATTTCCTCCGCAGTTTCGTGATCCTAAAAAAACAGGATCACGAAACTGCGGGAGAAATCGGGCGAAGCTGCAAGTCAAAATGCAGCCCCGCAGCTTCGGGTGTGAAATTGACCAATTGTGTTGGGGCAAACGGCGGTGCAACAGCGAGGCAGCTCTAGTGCACAATCAGCCATAACTAACTGATTTTCTTGGAGCATACGTTGTGGGTTCTGTGCCATGAACTGATTTCCCAGGCAGACATGGGCCAGTTTGGATTGCTTAGACTTTCCCTCCCATGCCCTTTTCCCAACCTAAAACAGCCCCCAGGGGCCTTTGGGGGTAAATTTATGTGGAGCCCAGCAGTACAGGCTAGTTTCTCCAACAGGGCTCATAGTGGTTATTCACATTACTGATCTGTAACCATGATTGGCAATATTTATAGTAGGCAAATCTAAAGAAGAGCTGTCACAACCCCCCCACACACACACTGAGGGGGCTCTTGACTCCAAGGAGGTGGAGCCAGAAACGTGGCTTGTGGGAAAGCAGGGAATTCTGGGAGACCCCTACATGGTAGATGACTCTGGCCCGTCTGCCCCTGAGGAGCCTACAGTTGGAGCCCCTCCACCAGAACTTCACTCTGCCTCCCCAGGTCCTAGGGCAACTAAGTGCCAGCCAAGGACCCGTCCCATGAGCCCACCAGGATCCACCTCCACCCATCGGGAACAGCAGAGGCAGTGGGGTCAAGCTGAGATAGCTCGGCAGAGACAGAGCACCAGGGCTTGCAGCCCATGCTCTACCTCTTGACCCAGACCATGGCTCCAGAAGATGTAATCCTTTGCAGGACTCTGGCTCCAGCAGCCTTGACGTGATGAGTCCCAGCGCTGCTTCCAGAGCAGGTGGAGCTGCTTTCCTCTCGGCCTTTTAAAGTCTTGGGATGGGATGTAGGCACAGTGAAGAATTCAGTGCTCTCCTGTTCTTCTGGCTGGAGATTGGGAACTGAAATGTTTATACGTACTGAGAGCCCGAGATGGAATCTGTTTACTGCTTAATGACGCAGTCAGTTTGGCCTTGGCAGAGGGGGAGAGAGAGATAACAGAGAGCTTGCGCGCGCGCGCGCACACA